CGTTTGGATCAGGATCCAAGCCAAGGGAGGGCAAATAGCCCACCCTCCTTGCTGTGCTCTGCCAAGGCGGCTCTTTCGTAAGAAACACATATTTGCGGGAACAAACCAAAACTTTGCAGCCGAGAAACCTGACTACTCAGAATGGCACAAAAGGGTACAGAAATTTAACACAAAGATTATAAGGACACAGTATGCTTGGCCTGTTTATTAAGTTACACATTTTCCAGGTTTCTACCAGCCTGAATTTGCACCACCACAAAAAAAAACAAAACAACCCTCTAATCATGTTTATGGTGCCCTGCAGATGCAGCTTACAGATTTGTAAATGACCTGATTAAGTATCCTGTGAGAACAGAGCCGGTGTGTAGTTTAGCCATTATTAACTGTGAATAACCAGCCTTATTATCCTGATGTTATACAACAGCTTCCCCCAATCCTGTCTGTATTGAATTAGGATTGTAGAAGCTGAAATCCAGCACATCTGGAGTGCAGCAACTTGGGAGAAAGTTAATATGCACTATAAAATCTGCTGGACCAAGCTGGAATTGGTTTTAAGAGGATCGAGTTATGATGGGCTATCAGTCTGATTTAGTGATTAAGGCACTAGGCTAGAAAACCAGGAGACTGTGAGTTCCAATCCTGCCTTAGGCACAAAAGCCAGCTTGGTGACTTTGGGCCAGTCCCACTTTCTCAGCCCAACTCACCTGTTGTTGTGAAGAAAACAGTAAGAGGAAAGAGTAATAGGTATGTTCACCAGCTTGAGGTATTTTTAATAATAATAAAGGGATAAAAAAAATAAAATAAAATTTTAAAAACCTGGCCACAAGTTCAGGTTTTGTACTCCACAAGTGAGATCTCAATTATGTCCCATCAACACACAGGAGTCTTTGCCAATTTAAGAGAAGGACATGTAGGAAGGAATTTGCAATCCACATTTGGTAGTGGGCGGGAGAGACAACAAAGGAAAAATGAGCGATCAAGGAGAAGAAATAAACATGAAGGCACGGCTAGATCTGGACTTGACTTCCACTGAGGTCAGAAAGGATCATGCATAAGCAATCTTTGTGAAAGAGAAGGCTTGGAGGAAGATGTTGAGACTCTAGAACAGTGTTTCTCAACCTTGACAATTTTAAGGCATGTGGACTTCAACTCCCAGAATTCCACAGCCAGCATTGCTGGCTGTGGAATTCTGGGAGCTGAAGTCCACATACCTTAAAATTGTCAAGGTTGAGAAACACTGCTCTCGAAAGAGTGCAGAGAAGAGCAACAAAGATGAAAAAGGCACTGGAGGCTAAAACATACAAAGAATGGTTCAAGGAATTGTTTAGTTTATGTCTAGTTTAAGGAAGAGAAGGACGAGGGGGGACATGATCACAGTGTTCTAATATCTCAGGGGCTGCCATCAAGAAGAGGGGCAAACTATTCTCCAAATCACCTGAAGGCAGGACAAGAAGCAATGGATGGAAACTAACCAAAGAGAAAAGCAACTTAGAACTAAGGAGAAATTTCCTGACAGTTAGAACAATTAACCAGTGGAACAACCTGCCTCCAGAGGTTGTGGGTGCTCCAACACTGGAGGTTTTTAAGAAGAGGTTGGACAACCATTTGTCTGAAATGGTAAAGGGTCTTGAGCAGGGGGTTGGATTAGAAGGCCTCCAAGGTCCCTTCCAACTCTGTTATTCTGTTGTTCTACTCCAGTGGTGGCGAACCTATGGCACGCGTGCCAGAGGCGGCACTCGGAGCCCTCTCTGTGGGCACACATGCCGTTGCCCCAGCCTTGTTTCCCCCCGCGACCCCCTCACCAGCAGCCCCCCTGGAGGAGAGTCACCCCCAAGTGTGGCCCACGCAGAGCAGTACAGCCAAGGACATGGCAGCCAGGCAGTGTAGACAAGACTCTGCCCTCACGCTCCATTGCGCACAGTTGATGCTGCGGGGCATGGCCAGATGCCATGGCCGTCATGGCACTGCTGGGCTACCTTGGCAATCTGTGGCAGGTCCTGGAGGTGGTGAGTGGCCCTGCGGGCAGGCGGGGTGGACCAGGGGCTGGGCCAGTTTTTGAGCACTCGGTCTCTAAAAGGTTCGCCATCACTGTTCTACTCTGTTAAGAAGGAAGGTGGAAAGTGAGCATCGCACAGGCATTTTGCAAAGAATCGAGTGCAGAATAGAAAACAGAGCAGGAAAACTAAGAGATGCAGGTCTTTAGGCACTTGAGGATGGCCGAAATGGAAGGATTGAGATCAGAAGGCTGGTGCCCGGCTTCTTTGACTTCCCTGACCTATTTTTTAAAAATGGAAAGCCAACTTTGATCACTAAATTTCCAAGAGCAGTTTAGGGCCCCCAGGTCTTCTCTGAAAATCAAAGCAGTGCTAACTTGTAATGCTAGTTATACTCTCCTTGTCTCTTGGTGATTTCACGGACGCGTCCATGCAGTTTCCTTGGCAATGAGATGAAAAAGCCTTTGCTGTTTCCTTCTTCCCGGATGCCTTTGAACCTCCCAGACTAGCCAACAACTGTCTAATTCTCTGGCATCCTCCCAGTCAAACCCTAACTAAGCTTGACCCTGCTTGGCTTCCAAGCTGAACCATATTTTTTTTCTCTTAAAGACTTGATCCAAAGAATCAAATAATTTGGGGGACAAGGAATGGATTTCTCTCTTTGTTGGCCCATGGTCCTTACTTTATTTCTTCGTGAGTTATTGGAATGGAAAGAGGTGGTAAGAAAAGTTCTGAAGGAAGCATACAGTAGCTAGAAACTCTGCTCTAGAGCCTCACTGCATCTGATTTTTTATAGGCCAGCGTGCTGTCTAAATATATCAAACCTGGCAAGATGTTGGAGTTATAAATATTCCCCCTTCTCAGTCCCTGTGACATCCAGCCCCCAAGCGACGCCGGGGTTCAGTACCAGCCCTCCTGCAGGAGGCACATAGCAACAGAGTAGACACACGGCCAGTTAGAGGACAACACTTTAACCTCTTTCTTATCCACCATTCACTTTTTGGCATAGGGAGAAACAGTAGCTGGGGCCAATCCAGGCACGTAGAAAGTTCAGAACAAACAATCACATTCAAGGATCCAGAGTGTCAACAACACTGCAGAAGCTCACGGCATTTCAAACCCACAGTGTTAGGATTAAAAAAAAAATATTGAAATATCTGGATGCCAGGCATAGAAGTGATGGCTTTCGGGCGGTGGTGGGATTCAAATATGTGAACAACTGGCTCTCTGTGTGGATGCCGCTTCCAGAAGTCCATTCTGGGTCTGGGCAACAAAAAATTAGCTACCGGTTCTGCCAAAGTGGTGCGAACCGGCTGAATCCCAACACTGCTTTCAGGGTAGATTTATAGAAATGGTTTGCCCAAGCCTGTTTCAAGAAGATTTTTTTTTTTTTTTTACTTTCCAGTCCAACTGCAACCGATGAAGCTAACAGAGTGAAGCCAATAGGAGCAGTTTGGTCAATTAGAATCGAATCAAGTTGGCACCCAGAGCCACCTCTTGAAGAAAGTATCCCCAAAACCTTTAGTAAATGAGGAGAGGTGTGGAAAAGATTGTCACCATAGAGGTAGTCCTCAACTTACAAACACATTTGCATCGCAGTCATCTGTTTTTACCAAACCTGGTTAAGAGGTTTTTGTGAATCCAGCCAATATGTGGCTTCAAGCCAACGTTTATCTCCCTGTTTCAATTTCTCCACTGGTAAAAAAAGGAACTGGAAACCATTTTATTCAAGCTTCACTGGGCTGTAGAGCAAGGGTCCCCAACCCCAGGTCCGTGGAACAAGTACCGGTCTGTGGCATGCCAGCAACTGGTCCGCACAAACAAGCAAAGCCCCATCCACACAAAACCACGCCCACTCCGGTCCGCGGAAAAGCCTCTCTCCACGGAACCGGTCTGTAGACACGTTTTTTTCAGCTTTCTGACAGACGCTTTCAAGAAACCGCTTGATTTAGAACCAGAGTTTTTTGTAAGAGTGGTTTGTAAACCTTGGTTTATGGTTTAGCTCAATATATTAATCCAGACTACGGGGGGGGGGGGCATCTGCACACTCGGTAAGGCAAACTTCCATTAAAGTTGCTATGTGGCCTTTTTTTTTAAATGCCACATCATATGAGAAGTCCTAGCCTAACCCAGCGTGGCCTCGAATGACCCCCTTTGTCAAGTGCGGAATGCAGGGCCGGGGGAACGATGTTAAGGAATCCGTCAGAAGAAGCCCCCGTTGTTTTGGAAAGCCAGCCGGACATTGCAGCCGACGGGGGCGCGCCCTGCGCTTTCCATAAACCTCTCCCCCCTCCACGTGCCGCCACCACTTTCTGTCGCGCAGCTCCCAAACTTTTCCACTCTCCCCCAACCCCGTGACTAAAGGCAGGCAGGCAGGCAGGAGTTCAACCGGGCAAGCCTTTTCTGGCAAAAAGCAGGTCTCTCGAGTTTCGTACTCGGCCCGCCCTTGTTAAAGAGGCAGCAAATTTTGCAAAGCAAGACTGGAGCTGTGCCCCGAAGCTCTGGAGTTCCTGTCCGACGCAGGCCAGGGGGAATGGCTCCACGCCCCCTCCTCACCCGGCTGAACTTCAAAAGCCTCCGCCCCCGAAGTCTCCCCTATGGGCTCCATAGGCGCTCCCCTCCTACCCTCTTTAAGAGGGCCCCGAGGACTGCCTGGGACCGACCCCAGCCGCCCCTTCTTCCCCCAGGCTACTGGCAGGCGCGGGTCCCCAGGGCCGGGAAAGTCTCCCCCTCCCCAGCTCCCGAAAAGCCCCACCTTGCGCCTCCCAGCTTCGGCATCCACGCCCCACTTGCGCTCCTTCGGGGGCGCTTCCCAACTTCTGCCAAGAGCAGCTTTCGTCTCGGCCACGCTGGAGATTCGCCTTTGCTTCCCTTCCTCCCCTTGCAGGCGCTCTATCAGCCTGGAAAGGGGGCGGCGAGGGGGGCTGCCCCTCTTCCCCCGACCCTGGCATTTGCGGGCGGGGAACCCCAAGTCCTCTCGCCGCCGCCCGCGTCCCCCCGACTTACTTTCTCGCCAAGGAGGTCCGGAGCTCTGAGCGCCTTGGGCGATTCTCCCCCCTGCAGTTAATCCGCGCCTCGGATGCAACCCCGGGTGCGCCTGGCCAAGGGTCCCACTCCTCGCTGGCCACGCGAAGCCCTTCGCCCACAGCTTGTGTCCCGCGCTCTCCGTCCCTTTGTGGGCGAGCCTCCCCGTCCCGCCTCCGAGCGCCTCCCACTCGCCCACTCGCCCGCCCCGGCCCCAGCCCGGTCCCCAGGCTCCGCGCGGGGAGAAGCCGGACGTGGACTGGAAGCGGGGTACTCCTGCAGGAGGACAAGGCAGCCCAGAGAGCTTCCTATTTTTCCTAGCACCCACCCTGTAGTGTAGGCTGGGTAAATGCACCCGAATGAACTTGCCTGGAATTGGTAGGTTTTTTTTTTTTTTTAATTATGGTTAGCAGGCTGGGTACATATTAAGCCAGAGTTTATCCCCACCATAGCTAGTTTGCACAACTAAAATGAAACAGTCATTTTACTGTATACTCACAGGGTGCCAGTGTAGTTTGCAAAGTGTGGTTTCTATCTTAAGGCAGGGTGAAAATCAGCCACATGTGGCTTATTCAGTCGTGGTTACCCAAGCCATCACTTTATCCGCTATGTAAAACTCCCAGTGGCATGCCTGGGACCTCAATCTAATTTCAGTACATCATTAAGATTTAGCAGAACGTAGTTTAACAGAATTAAAGTTCTGATTAACACTTATCAAGTGATCCTCACCACAGCGCATTCAAACTGTTAACATTCAGTCTATTAACTAATGCATATCCAAGAGAGCTATAAACCTCTTTGGATTCTTATATTAAAAGTCAGCCTAGATTTCTTTCACACAGTCTCAAATTTATCCCAAGAAAATAAACTCTTTAAACTCAGTATTTAATTTGTTTAAAAAGTGGGCAGCCCTAGATGTCACAAACAGGCCTGCTTTACAGGTAGTCCTTGACTTATGACTGAACTAAGAGTGCAGCTGGATGGGAGAATGACCATAGAAAAGGAAAAATAAATATGGTTCCAAGATTCAAGCTGCTGAGGAACTGAAAATAATGTAGAGAAGAGCAGCAAAGCTGGTGAGGAACTTGCAGGCTAAATCCAATGAAGAATAGTTAAAAGAACTGGAATGTTTATTTATCCCACCTTTATTATATTTCATAAATAACTCAAGGTGGTGGACATTTCTAATATCCCCCCTCTTCCTATTTTCCCCACAATAACAACCCTGTCAGGTTGGGTTGGGTTGGGTTGAGAAAGAGTAATTCACCTAAAGTCACCCAGTTGGTTTTTATGCCTAAAGCTAGTCTAGAACTCATTGTCTACTAGTTTCTAGGCTGCTGCCTTAACCCCTAATCCAAACTGGCTTTTAACCACTAGTTCAGACTGACTGTTTAGCCTAAAAAAGAGAAGACGATGGGTATTATTCTCTGTGGTGCCCAAGAACCACTGGGTGGAAGTTTTAAAGCAAGATGCCCAGGCTTGAAATAAAGAAACATTTCCTAACCATGAAAGCTATGAAGCAAGGGGGAGAGCCGATCCCTGGATTCATGAGTGCCCCATCTTCCAAGGTTTTCAAGCAAAGATTTGACAACCATTTGTCTGGAATGGTCTAAGGATTTCCACCCTGGACAGTGAGTTGAGTAGAAGACTTCCAAAGTCACTTCTGGGCATTCTACGATTCTTCTTTTTTTGACAGCCACACAAACACAAAACCTGAATGCTTTAGGTTTAACCCAATGTTACTCTTCCTACCTGGCTGAGGAATTCTGGGAGTTGAAGTCCACAAGTCTTAAAGTTGCCATGTTTGAAGACCCCTGCCATAGATCTTAGTTTGAGAAACCCTGCATTAAAATTGCATAACAAATCTGTATCACATTCCTGTATTTCAATTGAACAATTTTATGCATGACCAACCAGCAGAGGGCAACCCTTTTCCACCAATCAACCCCTCCAAAACAACCTGCTTAAAAAGTCATACAAAGGTGTACCATATTTTCTTTAGGGTTAATCTGCAAGACTTGCTTTTGTTGTCTCTCTCTTTAACGCTACCTTTTTTTTTTTACGGCTTCTTCTGCTGTGCCTTTAAAAAGCTGACCAGCATGGGAAAGTTAGTAGGTGGGGCTCTTTCAGGCATGAGTTCATGAGAAATATTCCACCTGTCAACGTTCTCTGCATTAGATTGATGCTTAATGATTGCAAAAACCAACACACTTGTGCACAAATAGAGAGAGAGAGAGACAGACAGACAGACAGACAGACAGATCCATAGACTCAATGGGGGCACAGGGCAAATTTACAAAGTGCTTAAGCTCAAACTATAGAAAAAATGTGATGCTTTAGCTTGCAGGACTTGGTTGTCCTGAGTTGACTGGTCTTTGTTTGGGGAGATAAATAGGGGTAGTCCTCAACTTATAACAGTTCATTTAGTGACTTTCTTTCTTTCTTTCTTTCTTTCTTTCTTTCTTTCTTTCTTTCTTTCTTTCTTTCTTTCTTTCTTTCTTTCTTTCTTTCTTTCTTCTCATGCCTCCTAAAGAGGCACCAGGTTTTTTGGAGTTGTCTTTCCCACTCACCTCCAGCACCGACAGCCCAGGCCAGCCAGCCCACTTCTTCTGAGCCCGAAGGAGCAGCTTCATTTTACAGCTGAGAATGGAGCTCGGGCCTGTATTTTGCAGTCAGAGGCCTTTCCGAAAGGCATCTGCAGCCGAGAACCGAGCTATGGATCCAGGCTGGAGCTCCATTCTCAGCTGCAGAATGAAGCTGCTCCTTCGGCCAGTGAGGCAAGTGTTGCAATGGTGAGCTCCATACACCCCACCCCCACCCCAGCTTGATTTTTAGGGGTGTGCCTCGCCCCAAAACTAGGGCTTATTTTAGGGGTAGGGCTTTTATTAGGCCCAACCCCCAAAATCAAGCTAGGGCTTATTTTGGGGATAGGGCTTACTTTTGGGGAAACACAGTAGATGATAGGAAAGAGAGCCAGGGCACTAACTTTTTGTGGCCGTCAAATGGTTGTCACCAAGATATACAGGATGCCTGGGCTAGATAAATCCAATGGTATAAGGTTATAGCAAATTTGGAGTCTACATAGTTTGAATTACACATTGTTTTGAGAACTGTCCCCATTATAAGATTTGAACATCCTTCCTTTAAAGAGAAAACTACTTTGAATCATGAGTGCTTGGAAGAGTTGAGCAATTCCTTTCCCCTTAATATGAGATTCGTCTTCTTTCTCATCCCTGTGTTCTTTCTCTGGTTCCAAGCAATTTGTCTTTCTCTTTCTTCAAAGCCAGACAAAGTTTTCAGAACATGTCTCGTTGTGGGTAGCGCTAATTATTTTGGGAGCCCTGTTCCTATCCACAGACAAAAAGAGTCTCAGCAACAACCATGAAAAGAAGCAGCTATTAGGCTTGTCAACAACTGCCAAGGGGGGTCAGAGAGAGAAGGAGCCAGGGTTGAAGCATTAAGAGTTGAGGTCTGGCCTTACTTCTTCCCCAGCCCCTGGTCAAAGTGGCACCAACGGGCCTCTCAACCAGTAATGGAGCTCGTCCAGATTCCTCTCCGCCTCTGTGGAGGGCAAATGGGAAGCCGGCAGATTTGGGCCAAGGTGTGTCAGTTGCTCTCTCCAAGGACTATTATAAAGTTGAGACAATCAGTTTTTTGGCAAATACCTCCAAAATAAAAGTGGTCTCTCCCACCCTTGGTAAAACCTTCTGATATTTTTCCAGAAAATTCTCCCCACCTTGAGCAATCTTCTCCTTCTCTCCTCCTTCTCCTTTCCTTCTCTCCTCCTCCTTCTCTTCTCTTCTCTTCCTCCTCCTTCTTCTCCTTCTCTCATCCTTCTTCTCATTCTCTCCTCCTTCTCCTTCTCCCCTCCTTCTTCTCTCCTCTTTCTCCTCCTTCTCCTCCATTCCTTTTCCTTCTCTCCTCCTCCTCCTCTCCTTCTCCTCTCCTCCTTCTCCTTCTCTCTTCCTCCTTCTTCTCCTCGTTCTCTCCTCCTTCTCCTTCTCCCCTCCTTCTTCTCTCCTCTTTCTCCTCCTTCTCCTCCATTCCTCCTCCTCCTCCTCTCCATTATTATTTTTTTGTTTTCAATCTTTGTATACATGCTATGGGTAAAAACTTTTCTTCCACTAATCCTGGTTGCTCAGCCAACCGTCCTCAGTCCCACAGTCCTTTGTCACCAGATATCCAGGAACTCCAACATCTAGCATGGTCCATGTTGACCCAGATGACAACTGATCCAGTATACCTTTCTGTAAATTATGTCTCACCAAATTGTTTATGGGAGAGAGACACCCTTTATCTGGCTCCTCTAATGAGACCTGTCCAGCATGGCTGAATCTCTAGCATAGATCTCATCTTCCTCAGAGCACAGAAGACCCACAACCATGTCAAGGTAGCCCCCATCATTATCTGCTTCTGCCCCAAGCTACCCTTACTTTTAACAGCTGCTCTTTAAGTTCAAGTCCAGTTTCCCCCCCCCCTTCCCCAAGGCACTTGCAGAACAAAGCTGTGCTGTGTGTAGGGAAATGCCGAGTGCTGGGCGGGAGTCTCAGCTCCTAGGGCGTTTGGCCAAACAGCTGGGCTCTTTGTAGTGGTGGGGCCAGCTCCTTGCTCCACACTCAGCTTTCCAGCTTGGCATTTGAGCTGGGATGAGAGAGGTGGACAAGAGGGTGTCGGGGGAGTGGAAACTATTAGTGTTGTTGGCAACTCCCTGGAGATGGAGAGATGGCATCAATCTTGCAAGAGCTGCCAAGTTCCCTACTTTGTACATTCAAAGAAAGCAAGTACAAAATCTTGGCCCAATCTAAAATACCAGTACTAAAAAGCAGATGGTGTAGCCTTTAGGATGAGAATTTTATGAACTTCAGCTACTCAGTGCCTAGATCTGATGCAGAGAGCTAAGCCGGGTTTCACTTAACTGTGAGCTGAGTAAACTAGATCGGCAGCATGGCAATGCTCAAGCTCAAGTCAACAAAATATAATTGCACTGCTCATCTAATATGCAATGTTGCAAGAACACCACCATATCATGGTTTAACAGGATGGCTTGGATCACCAGGCAATGTCTGGATCCCCCAAGCTTTTTTCAGCTGGCAAGCCCCCCCCCTTCTCCTAATGTTCTAGAATCTAGATGGTTTTATAAACAGATTCTTTCCTCAAGCATTGAGACTTGTTTTCG